TTTTGAAAATTTTTTAATTTTTTTTTAAAAAAAAAAAAAAAAAAATTAAAAATTTTTTAAAAAAAAAAAAAAAAAAAAAAAAAAGGATTATTGATTTTCGATTGATTAAAATTATCGATCGATTGATCGATTGAAAATATATTGGATGTGTGTGTGTGTTTACGTTGGATGGATGCAAATGTAAAATAGATAAATAATCAGATTATCGAGGAATGATTGAATTCTTTGAATTTTTTTCTATGATGGAATTACCAAAGAAAAGAAAAAACAGGTAGCATTTTGCTGAAGAAATGAAAACTACCTACACACACCTGGTTTTTTTTTGTTTTTTGCTCATAAATTATAATCCAAATCCGAAAATGTGAAAAAAAATTTCAGAAGATTTGGGTAATATTGATTGATTGATTATCGATTGAATTTTCAAATGAATAAAGTTTTTTTTGGTCAATTGAAAAACATTGATCGATTGATTTCATCATCAACTTTCAACTAAAAAAAAATAAATAACCCCAGTGGAAATGAAAGGTGTTGAAAACATTGAATTCAAACAAACCACAAACAACAAACGAAATCAACAACATTAGCTATGGATATTAAAAGATGTTTAACGAGAAAATGAATGAATGAATGAATGAATGATGCTCGAACCACAAACCATGCTTATGTAACCATTGAAAAAAATTCACCACCACCACCACCATTACCATGATCATAATGAAAATTGATTTCAATTCAATTCAAATCAAATGAATGAATGATGGATAATGTTTGAAGATTTTTGTTGTTGTTGTTGACCAAAATTAACCGCAAACTGCTGTATTTTTTTATACAGCAGTTTTGTCTACAAAGATGTCCAACAACAACAACAACAAAAAAGAAAACCTTGGGAGAAAAGACGATTGATGAATGAATGAATGAATGAATGTAGAGGCTATCTACAAAAAAAGGATTTTTTTGTTTTGTTTGTTTGTTGTCCATGATGGTGATGGTCGTTATTTCCACCAGATGATCATGTCTGGTGGAAATAAAATGAATTTTTTGTTTGGCTATAAATAGCTGACATCGACAATGATGATGATGATGATCGAAAATCGATGTGAAAAAAAACCAGGAGAGAGAGAGAGAGAGAGAGAGAGAGAGAGAGAGAGAGAGAGATGGATGGAAATAAAAAATAAATCGGATTCACCCATCACTCAAACAAATGATGATGATGACCATAATCATTTTGAAATTAAATNAAAAAAAAAAAAAAACAAAAAACAAAAAAAAAAAACATGAGAGAGAGAGAGAGAGAGAGAGAGAGAGAGAGAGAGAGAGAGATGGATGGAAATAAAAAATAAATCGGATTCACCCATCACTCAAACAAATGATGATGATGACCATAATCATTTTGAAATTAAATTTTGAAATGACAATTGTTTATGGCCAAAAACAAACAAACAAACAAACAACCCTGTTGAACTTGAACAACTGAATTTTGGTCAAAATTTTGATTATGGTGGTCATCGTCGGTTTTTCTTTTGTTTTGTTCTAACGAAATGATAATGATGATCATGATCATCTCCAAAATTCATCATCATTATTCAACATGACATTTGTCCAAATCTAAGCTGATTTTTTCCCAAAAATTATCAGCTACAGAATCCAAATTTCCCAAATCCATATTAGACTCATCAAATCAGTCAACTTAACTTAACCAAACTAAACATTTTCATTTTCTATATTTGAGTTTTGCATTATTTCTTCAGTTCAATTGATCAATTATGTTAGTGTTTTTTATCATTATTATTATTATTAGTATCATCCTAATCATCAAATGGGCTATATTTGGAATTCCAATTTTCGTTTTTCGTTGAAAAAAAAATGAAAAGATTTTCTTTCTTTCCACCGAATGACAATTATTATTATTGTTTTGTTTTGTTTTCAAATGTGAACAAATAATTGATGAAACAAACGAACGAACGAAAAAATCAAATTTTCATTCAGAAAAAATTCAAAATAAGATTATCTCATTATAAAAATGTCTGATGGGGTGATATTTTCGATCATCATCGTTATCGTCAAATATGTTTGTTTTAAAAATAAATGCTGCCAAAAGAAGGCCTAAAGATATTCACACACCGATCGACTATATCGACTTTATCGACCAAAAAAAGAAAAAGAAGATCACATCCAAATTAGCCTTCAAGGCTAATCATCAATGGATGAAAATAGCAATAAAAAAAAGATATTTTCTGAAACAATAAAACAAAAAAATTGAAATCAAAAAATAGATTCAAAACAATATCGGTTATCGTTTATTTTTGATAATAATTGAATACCCGGTGTGTATAATATGTTGAAATAGCCGTAAAATGCCTTTCTCCCATCCATCAACCAATTTTTCTTTTTGTCGGATTGTTCGTTGAACCCAAAATCATCATCATTGGATCATTGGATAATTATGGATCTTTGAACTAAAAAATAAAAGACAAATATGACAATATGGCGATAATGATGATTAGTGAACAAAAAAAAAAAAAAAAAAAAAAACAGGAAAAAAAAAAAAACCCTGAAAAAAAATAAAAAAAAAAAAAAAAAAAAAAAAAGGGGAAAAAAAAAATAAAAAAAAAAAAAAAAAAAAAAAAAAAAAAAAAAAGACAGGTAAACAAAAAAAACCCTGATAAATAATTAGCCTAGAATTAGGATGGATAAAATGAGAAGAAAAAGAAATTATTGATTACCAATCTTCTCACCTGGAAAAAAACTGAATAATCATCATAGGTTATCAGAAATCCATGCAATAACCGAAACAATAACCGAAACAATAGCTGGATTTAGCTAAAATTGGATACCTAAATCTCATTAACTTTTTTTTCAGGTAATTTTGTTTGTTTTTTAAGTTTTTTCGTTTTTTTAAATTATCAGATTTTTATCACCCAAAAAATCTTCAAGTACGAAAGAAAACCGGGGTGATGTTGCTAATCATTACACGGAAAACAATTTTTGTTGACTTCTTTTTTCTCTAAAAAATTTTAAAATTTTTTTTGATGAAAGGAAAACAAGCAACGAAAAACACACTTGAAAATTTAACTACCTGATGATGATATTCAATGATCCGAATCCAAAATTGTTTTTTTGTGTTTGGAAATGACAAAAAAAAAGTTTTTAAAAACTGAAAAAGATAAAATAACCCGGGTATAACCAAAAACAAACATATCCAGTTAACAAGAAAATAATTTTCAGGAAAAAAAATTGATTGATTTTCAATCAATCTAACCGAAAAAAAACACGCGTTTGGTCATCGGAGAGAAAATTTCTCGGTAAACAAAAAAATATTTACGGAAAAATTTCGTTACTTTCAAAAAAAATCAAACTTTTTTCTATGTCGTCAAATCAATATTTTTGTTGTTGTTGACAAGAAATTTTTCAAGAAATATCATTTTGACAGACATACACTTTCTTCTTCTTCTTCGATACTTTTCTCTCTCGCTATAGCAATGTGATTCTAAATTATCCTTTTTTAAAAAATATGGAAACACAAGAAGAGATGAGAAAGATTACCTTATTTTGACGACAACAACGATGATGATGATGATGATGAAAAAAAGTTTTTCGAGACTAATTTTCGAGTTAACTGGATCGGAATAAATACGTTTTTTTTCTTCCATTCACCAGTCTCCAGGTAAGTTAGTCTGGCAATCATCATCATCATCATCATCATCGATTTGTTCGACTCTCATGGATGGCGAGAGAAAAAAAAACCATGAAAAAAATGACTGATTTTTTCGAAGATTTTCGAATGAAAAAAATTGATTATTTTGTCGAATGAGTGAGTGAGTGGAAAAAAAGTTTTCGAAAAGAAAATTCCAAGGAAATATTCTTCGGTTCTTTTCCCGGATGTTGCACCCAGAAACTTGACAGAAAATTTTGCAACAAAGTTTTTTTTTTCTCATCATCACCACCGCCATTATCATCGACGATGATGATGTCACAGTTGATAATTTGATTGATTTAAAAATATCCATCCAAACAAAACAAGAAAAAGTCTTACCTAAAGATAGAGAATCTGATTAGTTTTTTGTCTATTTTCACGTTGGCTACCTATTTTTACCCAAATAGCTCTCCCATTTTTCGCCTTCGCCTTCTTCAAGCTAATCATCATTATCATCATCATAACAATTGTTGATGGATAAACTTTCCAAAAAAACAAAAAACGGATGCCCCAAACGAAATGTGTGTGCTTTGTTTTCGTTTCATTTTCGTTTTTTTTCGTTTCTTCTTCACCGATAATAATAATATCTACACAATCGATTTGATTTGAATTTACTAAATTTAGATTTTTCTTTTCTTTTTCTTTTTCGTTATTACTTTTATCCATTATTATTATTATGATGATGATGATTATGATTATCAATCGTTTAGTTAGTTAGTTAGTTAGCTAGTTTAGTTAGTTTAGTGTGATGGTTGATCATCAAATATGAAATAAAATTTGAATGAAATGGAATAGAACCGGTTGATTGGCATTTACCGGTCGATGAGCCAATTTTTCGTTTCGTTTTGTTTTGTTTTGTTTTTGTTTCAATCATTGAGCCGTTACAATTTTCCCCACTTAGTTAGTTAGTTAGTTTTATTTTCGTTATCGAAGCTTGAAGCGATCGATCGATCGATCGATTGTTTAATCGATTGATTATTATTTATGATGATGATGATTATGACGATGATTATTATGATTATTTAAAAAAAACGGAAACGGAAGATTTTTTTGGTTCTGTTTCGTTGACTAAATACAGATTATAATGTTTTTTTTGACCATTTAAAAAATCATTTAATAATCGATTGTATCGATAGTTGTTTGGCCATCGAACAACCAAACAAAAAAAAATCGTCTGTTTTTGATCACAGATGATATTTGTTTGTTTGGTTTTTTTTGAAATTGTTTCTTTTTTTTTTGAAAAGTGGGAGTTTTTTTTCTGCTGTCCGGGACAAAATATGGCATCCATTTTGAACAGATTGAATCCGAAAATTGATATAAAATCTAAACAACAACAACAACATCATCAACAACATCAACAATCAAATCAACTATTATTAAATCCACGAAGTAATGATTGGTTTGATCGTTTTATAGAAATTTCAACACAATTATGTTTTGATGATTTTAATCCAAAATGGTTAATCGATATTCATGCAAACATTATTCATGATCTTTATGATGATTCAATTGGTGTAGAAATACATTTACATTTATTATCATTATTGGAACAAATGTTTCCATTATTTGATTGTCAAGAAAAGTATGTTTAATTTTTTGATCCTAATATGTTGAGTTTTTTATTTTCAATTTTCTTTCTTTTTTAAAAAAATAAGAGTTGCCGAAACCTTTCAAACATTGTTATCGTTGATTGAACGAAATTATAAATCTCGACAAAGAACAATTATTATTCCTCGTCTATATTATTGTGCTACATCTTTGTTGCTGTTTTTCAAAGATTCGGTAAATTTTTTTCTGTTGAATATTTCATTTGAATCTCAAATTTTTAATCAATCCAAATAGGTTATCGACTCTGATCATATATCGAAATTGTTTTCAAATTTCTTACGAACTTTACTGACCAAAACCAATACTGATCAACAATCATTTGAATATGATACATGTCTTGATTGTTTGCGAGAAATTTCCTCTACTTTTCCCGTATGAATAATTTTTTTTATTTTGTTTGAAAAAAATTAATCATTTTTCTCGAAAAAATAGGAAATGTTCAATGTCGAAATATCAAACGATTTTAAACTCTTACAGCGAGCACCAAAAAATCTACAAGAAGCATATTTTATGTTACCATTATTTGATTTGGAAAATAATTTAGATAAAATTCGTAATCTAATTCAACAATTTGATGATTATATATCGGATATAAAATTCTATCATATTTGTATGGATGTTCATCATTTAATACTTTCCGGAAAATATAATACTGATAAATTATCATTATTAATTTTACGACCATTTTTATCAAAATTTATAATTAGTAATCAAATTCATCAGATACAATTTGCATTAAAACTTTTGATTGAATTTGGTTTTGATATTTATAGTTCAAGAGAAGAAGAATTATTCTTACGACAAATGGTACAAGCATCAACAATACCATCAATACCTGTTGGTCATCGATTATTATTACTGGCTTTTATACGTATTGCTTTCGAATCAATTTATGAACCACCATTAAATTCACCACCATTATCATTATTGAATTCATTATATCCACTTCTGTTTGATGGCCCAGATACTCAGGAGAAAAAACTTCAGATTCTAAATCAATCTACATTCATAATATCGGATGATGAATTTTTCAATCTATTCTATCGTTTTTATCGTCAATGTTCAACCGATAAACGAAATTATATACGTGCCTCAAACGGTCTGTTTCACCTGATGAATCAATCAATTCGTAAACGAACACAATTAACCGATCGTCTTTTACAATTATTATTGGATAGTTTTTTCAACACACAATATCTACATTATATTCGAAAATTTTCACTATTCTGTCGTGATCATAAAGAATTGGGTCAAAAATTGGTCGATAATTTTATTGCCAAATTAATGATGATGACTAAAGATCAGGATAATAGTAAAATGGAAAGTTTAAAAAATTTACCAATCACTATTACTAGTTATAAAGTTTATATTGTTTATTTGGAATTTATTGATTGGTTTCTGTCTGTTGCACATCGTCATATTCGTTTAACAGAATTTCAAACAGAATTCTTAATCAATTTTATTCATCGTAATAGTTTTCATTATACTGATTCATCAACAATGGCATTACAATGTTGTACATCAATTCTTTATTATCAACGTGTTACACAAAAAGTTAAAGGTGCATTATTTAGTCTATTAGAATGGTTAAGAAATGAACGAAAATCTGATTTGGAAGCATCAAGTTTAGCACAGATTTATCTTTTAGCATTACGAACATTAACCGAAGAATCAATTAAACAAGTGTTTACATCGGATGAAGAAGAATTTCTACTTTATCAAACACCAGAAATATTTGAACAATATTTATTGAATGTAAAAAATACATTACAACAATGTCCAATACAAATTGAACGATCTAAAATCAATATTGTTCGACAAAAATACTGTCAACCACCATTCAGTAAAATTATTTCATTTGATTTATCATTAGATCAACATAGTAGATTTAATCGAATATTTGCCATTGAAATACGGTTTAAATGTAAACAAAATAATAGTTTTGAAAAACTAATACAAATACCTTGTTTGGATGATAAACAAAAACCGATTCGAATTGATTTACCAATTGATTTTCTAATCAACGATACAATCCAGCTTATTATTGAAGTAAAATTTGTTGATATACGTGGTAATATTTATGATCATCATCAAAATCAAATCGAACCGATTTCATTTGAAGATTTATTAATTTCATTCGAACAAATCAATATCGATCAAATTAAAACCAATAAACAATGGACAGAACATTTAGATTTGATTCAAACAATAATAATCTGTTTGCCAGATTATCATACAATACAATCATTTATTGATCATCATCAATGGCTAGAATCATTCATTATAAATGATGATTCTATACAAAATTCAACATTGTTGTTTGTGATTGGTACAACACCCGATCGATTAGTCATAGGATCAATCAAATTAATCAATCAATGTATAAACATTGAATTGGAAACTAATCATTATGGTATAATGCCGGCGCTATTTTCCAGATTTCGAAAATAAATAATTTCAAAAAGGAAATTTTGCTTTTGGTGGAGAACAAAAGAAAAACATTGCAAAATTTTACAAATCAAGGATTTAATCATTATTGGTAAATGTAAAAAAAAATTATCATCTTGATCTTTGACAGATTGTCAATGTTGTTATTTTATAAAAAAAATATATAGTTATTTTGAAACAAGTAATGAGAAAAAAAAAATATTAACAAACAGCTTCTGCATATATATTTAATTTGATGAAAATGATTAATCAGTTCATCATATTCATCATTTCATTGTTATTCGGTACGCTTCCTTTTTGAAAATCGCTCAATTCACGACGAAATGTTGATACGTTTTGTGTAAATCTGTTTTTTGTAAAAAAGTTATTATTTTTTAAAATTTTAAAATTTTTGTTATTTCAAATTAAAAAACACTTACCTATCACGATTTTTAGCCAATAAATTACGTGCAACACCTTGCATAAGATTATCAAACAATTGATTCATTGTTGCCTGTTTTTCAATCGGTTGTTGTGAAATTATGTTACGTCGTAATTCATTAAAATAATCTTCATTCAATAAAATAAGGCCAAGTAATGGTCTTGACATTGACCATTGATTACGACAATCTTCAAACATTATTATATTCATTATAGTTGATAACATTTGTTGAAATATTTCTGGTTTTAATTCCATTAAACAATTAACTTCATATGATGATTTTTTCTTATTCTGTTTAGATATTTCTTTAAATATATATGATACAATATGATCTAATGCTGAACAACAAGCTGTACAAACATTATCCAATGAATTTAAACCTTCCGATATTGATGATATGATATAAAGAAAAACATTCGGTTCAAGATTAGCAAGAAATTTCATATGATCTTGTGCAATACATTCCAATAGTACATAATATGATTGACTAAGTTTTGGATATTCCTGTATACAAAGACAAACAACAAAAAATGATTAATTAATGAATCAATTAATTACAAAGATTATTACCAATATATCAGTAATTGAAATGGAAAGTATTAATTTGATGAATGTATTTAGTGCATCTTTTAATGCTGTATCACCATATAATTCGAATACACCGAAATTTACATATGAACCACTTAATGCTAATTTTAGAATGGAAAAACAAATCGATATTCCTTTCAATTTCATTGCATAAAGACGATCATTAGGTAAATCATGTAGCATAAGTATTTTTGTTCCATAATTGACCAACAGTTTACTTGCATCACAAAATAATAATATACCATTTGGTGATGATATATCAAAATGTAAACGTTGTGATCGATTATTAACTAATTCGGCATATAATTTCAATACCGGTGTTGTAACCTGTGGATCATTAAACCAAAGATCAATAGCTGCATGAAAAACTGGTGTATATGTTGGATAACTAAATTTGCAACAAAATGGAAAACAAGATTTAAAAAATTTCGAAAAATCAAATTAACAAATTTAGAAATACAAAATAATACATACATCCAATTGAAAAAGATCATTATATTTGATTTGGAAATAAATGAATATACTAGGCCACGTAAATCACGAGATATACCAATCAATGCTTTCTGTTTGATTCAAACCAAAAAAAAAAAAAAACAAAAAAAAATTCATAATTAGAAAAAGGATTTTTTTGTTGGTTTTTCGTTTACTACTAACTTTTGTTTCCTCCTCATTAAACATTGATTGATTGTTGAGCATATTTTTCAATGTATCCAACGATGCTAACCAACGAGAAAAACATTGAATGAATCAAATTAAAACAAATAAATAAATAAAAAACATACAAGTGATTGGTTGCATAAATTTTTCAAATTTATCTTCATCTTCACCCGAATCGATCATAAATAATCGTCCTAATGATGTATAGAATATTGTACGGCACTTCATATATTTTATATCAAAAGAATTGCTTAAAAATGGAAAATGTTCGGCCTGAAAATTTCAAACAAATTAAATCATTTCTTACTGCAAACAAACAAACAAAAACATACAGTATGATTATTCAATATAAATTGAATCTCTTCTAATTGAACCAATTTTCGTACACTTGAATAACCAATGGATAGATCATTAAGAATTTGTAATGTTTTCGTAACAATATCTTCATCATTTCCCCAATATTTTAGATTGGTTATTCTGTTTGTGTTGTAAATACAGAAAAGGGTTAAATAAAAAAAAAATATTAATATCCTATGGTAATGATAATTTATATCTTACATTTTACGTATAAAAACACTTAAAACCATTGTTTCTTCACTAAGACCAAGTACATCGGATAAACGTTTATAAACAGTTGATGTTTTTTGTACTTGATCACCAATATAAGTTTTACGAAATTGTTCAAAAAAACTTAATATAGCTAGATCAAGTTTTTTACAAAATCCACCACGTGCTAAACGAATGTCGGTAAAATTCATCAATTGTAACACACGAAATGCCAATTCACCATCCATATGATCTTGTTCATCATTACTATGAAGAAATACACAACCACCAATAGCAGCACCAATAATATACACTAACCATGTCAGGCGATTTTCTTGTATTTCAACTTCAACCCGTGATTGTGGCATTGTTTGCATTAAATCTTGATATGATTTTGCTGACTGATCAAACAATGTTACCAATAATGAACAAGTATTTTCATATTCACAACGTGCTATAGTTGATAATTGTTCTAATTGTTGTTGTACCATACCAATATCATCGAATGGATCTTCTAAACCATTAACAACAACTTCATTAACCATTTCTAATCTTGATGTTATATATGCTCTGGTTACTTCAGGTGCAAAACGTTCTAATAAATGTGGTTCGGTTGCTTTTACATATGGTACAGATGTAACTAATTTTTGCCATAATGTTAGCAGATAATGGATTGAATTTGATGCTACGGTCCACATCTATAATTAAATTTAAGAAATTAATTAATTAATGAAAAAAGATTGATTATCCAATTGATTATCATACCCTTAAACTGGTAATAGTAAAATTGGCAATCAATTCTAATGTTTTAGCATAATCATCTGCTTTAACTAATTCACCCAATTGATAATTAATTTTCAATCGTGCTAATAGACGACAAAATTCATGATAAGCACTTGGATCGGAAAGTTTGGTTGGATTTTCCAATATTATTCGTATACCAGAGATCAGATTATTAATAAAATTTACACGTTCAGTATTGTTGAATAATGATCGACGAACCGATGCTAGCTGTACTAAACATGAAAGTGACTATAGAAAAAAACAATAATTTTGAAGAAAAAATTTTGCTTAAAAAAAGCTTAAAAATATTGTCATCATAATCATTTACCAATGATGATATATTGGCCGGTAATAAATGGAATAGATCAAAGTAAATTTTGAGATTATTCATATCGAGAAATGCCGGTCGCCAAATGGTAGGAATTTGTACACCTGTTTGAATAAGAAAAAAGTTTTTTTTTGTAAATTTTTAAAGTTTTAAAAGTTTTAAAAAAAATTCTTACATGTTAAATCATCGGATGAATCATCCGATGATGCACCAATAAAATCAAATGAAAGACAATTGATTATTAATTTTAATAAATTACTAATCAATGTTTGTTCATCATCATCTAATATTTTATTTTTTTTCAATTCATCCAAAGCACTTTTTAATAAACCTTGTGATAATTGAAAAAATTCATATAAATTTTTATCACGAAATGATGATGCTATTTTACGATGACGAAATATTGAACGATTTGATTCATGTGCGTTTGGTTGGCTAAATATTGAATTGAAGAATTTTCGGTTACAAAATCGAATCGAATCAATCAAAATTTACTTACTTCATTTCAATGACAAGTGTCGATATTAACTGTACACCAATATTACAATATTCAACTGTTCCCTATATTTTAATAAAATTATAAAAATTTTTAATTTATTTCGCGATCAAAATCAAATAAAATACAAAACATACCCCAACAAAATGACTGATGTGCGGTATAATATCACGAAAAACAAATTGTTCATTTTTCATATCAACCCATCCTACTTTTGTTATACGAGCAAATAATGTAACTAATGCTTGTAAAACAAATGGTGCCAATTTTGGATTTGATGCTAAATAATTTAATATATAATTTCGAATGTCTAAACGTTGATCAACCGAAAGACCGGTTGGATTACGTGTTATTAATTTGGTCAATGTTGTTGCAGCTAATAATTGTGCAAATGCCGACTATTTTCAAAAAAAAAATCAAAGATTTTAATTAATAAAAAGATTTCGAAATGAAAATGAAAACATACATCACGACGTTCCAATAAAAGTTGACATTTTGGTAGACAATCCAATGAATTGGAAAACATTAACAATGCTGATTCGGCTTGTTTACGTTCATCTGAATCGCTTGATTCATATAATTTTTTACATAATGTTTCCAATTGGATTAATTCCTATTTTTGTTTTGCGGCAGAAAAAACAATCAATAAAGAAAATGTTTCTGGTTTAAAAAATTCAAATTCGAACGTTACCTGTTCATCACACATGATGTTTGATTTTTTGAGAATATTTTTCTTTCGTAACGATGATTGATTAATTTTAAAAAATTTTAAATGACCTAAGATGCCACCAATCATGAAATGGTCACAAAAATCTTATAACAATTTGATAATAATCATCAAAATGACAATTCGAAATTCGAAGAGAAAAAACCAAATAGTTTCTTTCAAATAAAAATGACAATTCTTCCCACTTACTCACTCAAACAAACAAACCAAAAATGATTGATCGGTAGTCACGAATTAATTGATTTGAATTAATTTTCAAATAATAAAAAAAAACAGATTCAAAGACAGAATATTTGGCGGAATATTCATACGAAAAAACAAAAACACAGCAAAAACAGATACGGGCGCCTTTATTATTGTCGTTATTGAAGCCTGCTGATTGATTTTTACAATTTTCTCATTGTGTGTTTGTGTTTATTATATTTTCTGTTTTCTTTTTTGCATTCATTCATTCGTCGTCGTCGTCTTCGTTTTTTGTTTTGTTTTGTTTATATCATCCACACACAGAAACACACACTTGACATAGGACCAATAGCCAGTAATAAATAACGATGCATGCTTTTTTTGTTTTGTTTATAACGTTGTGGCAGTGTGTTGAGCACCCAAAAAAACAACATAACATAGACACACAACATACACACTCTTTTTTTTTCATTGAAACACATTCTTTGCTTATTCCAATACTCTCTTTTCATAATACAACTTTTGTGAATTTATAAATATTTTGCAGGGGAAAAAAATGGCCAAAAATTAAAAATTTATTTGGAAAAAAATCAATCAATTTTTAAGAAAAAAAAATTTTTTTTTCGGGATTTTTTTTCGTTTGAAACTTTAAAGTCGAAATAGAATCGAATATGAATCGAAATAGCAAAATTTTTTTGGAATTCGAATTGTTTTTTTTACATTCGATTTTTTTTCCATATACCATATCCGTCCGGAGATAGGTAAAATGATTGAAAAAAAACAAAAATTATGGTTAAATTTCTAATTTAAATTGTTTTGATTATCCATGATGATTATTATCTTTGATAAACGAATTTTTTTGAATTAGTTTTGTTTTGTTATTATTGTGTGACTTGCGCCCTTTGGATCGATCCATTTGGTCATCATCATCATCATCAACAACACTGTACCAAGCCCAATGCAGTCTTTTTTTCCTACAGTTTTACTACTCTCATTGCAATTTGGCTCAACCAAAAAAACAACAAACATGATGCTACTCTTGATTTGCATCTGATTTCAGGAACCCATCGTTTTGTTTCTTGTTGTTGTTGTTTTTGGAACAATCATTACAAGTCAAAATTTAGGATTTTTTTTTTTGATTGAAATCAACTAAAATATCTTGATCATAAAAAAAAGATATGATGCATAATATTGAAATGGATGATAATATGATGACCATCAATATTGATGATAATAATGATAATGATTGTGACGATGATGATGATGATGATGATGAACAAATCAAAATTATTCAACAACAACAACAGCAAGAAGAAAATGAACAAAATGGCAATAATAATCTAAAGAATAAATGTTTTACTATATGGCCATCTTTATTTCGGTAAAAAAAATGTTTTTTAAATTAATTTTTTGAATTTTTTTAACCATTTTTTTTACCTATCAACAGACGATCAACTTATTTTGGACGTTATAAACGTAGTCATTCATCAAAACGATCGTTCGAACAACAACAACAACATCGTTTTGGTCGTAATTATTCACAAAGTTTAGGTTCATCATTGAATGATGATAATCTTTCACCACCACCACCATCATCATCATTATTATTATCACCATCATCATTATCATCAACATCAACAACATCAAGACCATTATCATCATCGAATGTACCATTTCCAATTACAGATAAATATCTAACACCAAATTCACCAATATCACCACGTGTAAAAAATTTTAATCTTGATATGAAAATATTAGTTTTATCACGTAATGATAATCCATATCTAATGAAACAATTAGAACGTTCAAATTCATTAACATCGAATAATTCATCGATTACAACTGCTGTAGATGAACAAGAATATTTTGCTATCGATCAACAAACAACAACATCACATTCAGCATTACATACACCAATGTTTAATCGTCGAAATTATTATCGAATCAATAATAATGGTTATGGCCGTTCATCATCTACATCAACAACCAGACAACAACAACAACAACAACATCGATCAACATTATCATTTACATTTGATTTTGATAATCAAAAAAATTTGAATGATAATGAAAAAAATCTTCATGAACAATTAATACGTAGTCCACCGCCAAATTTTCCAGAAAAACTTAGCCATTTTTTATTTACAGAAAATCTAATCAAAAATCTTTAAAAAATTTTTGCTATGTCTGTTTTTCCGTTTTTTCAGTTTTTCATTCATCCAATCAATGATAATAATGAAGCCAAACATTGTAGAAACCAAAACTAAAAAAATATTTTATTTTCCTGTTTCAAATATATTGCTACTGCTGTTGTTGTTTTTTTTGTTATTCAAAATCAAAATCTAAATAAAATTGAAATGAAAAAAATGGTCGTTTATCGAAATTGATAATCATCGACAGGATTCGAGTTTGTTTTAATCTAAAATGATTTCATTACGAACAGAGTGTGTTTGTGATAATCGTTCAACTTTCATCATTCATGGCCAAATGAAAACATTGTATGGAATGTTTTTTTTTGATAAGATTGATGCGCGGGCGATATTTGATTTAGTGGTGGTGGTAGTTTGGTAGCTTGACTTTAAACTTTTTTTATGATAATAATCATGCCAGATTTTCGTTCTTTGTTGATTGCTGCCAAACAAAGCAAATAAACCAAACGAATGTTAGCTGGATTTTCCATTCATTGGTTGTGTCGTCGACTTTAGTGCACAAATCATCAAATATATCTTCACAATTTGCCATAGCATGCCATGTTTGTTTGTCTGTGAAAAAATTCAAACAACAACAAAAAAAAATCTTAAAACATCTTTGTGTTTGTTCGACATTTTCTTGTTTTCGTTGATTCTATTTATAAACACAAATTTTTGCTTGTAACATTTTCATTAAATCTTTGAAAAAATTCGTTCAGCATCTTTGAAGATATTCTGTGATAAATAATTAAACGATAATCACCGAAATTCGTTGAAGAAAAAAAAACTCAAAAATGTCTTCCGGTAAGTTTCCCAAAATTCGAATTATCGAATCATCACTCATTTTTCCCAACGGCTATTTTAACATTTCCATAGAAGCATTTGTAACATTAGCAACGAATGATAATTATGCTATCGGTGCAATGGTATTAGCATCATCATTACGTAAAGTTGGTACTCAAAAACATTTATTCATATTGATTACCGATAATGTTTCCGATAAAATTAGGTTTGATTTCATTATTTGATTGATTGATCTAATTAATTAATAAATTCTTCATTTTATAGAGAAGTATTGAATAAATTTTTCGATACAATTCAATTGGTAAATTTATTGAAAAGTCCTGATCCAAAAATACTTGAAGCATTAAAAAGACCTGAATTATCAGTTACATTGACAAAATTATATTGTTGGAAATTAACACAATTTACTAAATGTATTTTTATGGATGCAGATACATTAGTTGTACAGAATATTGATGAATTATTTGAACGACAGGAATTATCCGCTGTACCGGATATTGGTTGGCCGGATTGTTTTAATTCGGGTGTTTTTGTTTATCAACCATCCGAACAAACATTTAATAATTTAATTGAAATGGCTGCACGTGATGGTAGTTTTGATGGTGGTGATCAAGGTTTATTAAATCAATATTTTTCTGATTGGTCAACCAAAGATATTGACCATCATCTTTCATTTATTTATAATATGACATTGGCATCAACTTATTCATATTTACCAGCATTTAAAAGATTTGGTAAAAATGTTAAAGTAATACATTTTCTTGGATCATTAAAACCATGGTATTGTTCATATAATGCATCAACAAAAAAACTGAATACATTTATTGGTAATGATCATGCACGGGAATTTATTGAAAAATGGTGGCAAATGATGGTTGATAATGTTCATCCAGTTATTGAACAATTAAATATTGTTGGATCAATGTCAAGTATGGCTATTAGTAATCCAAATCAACCATCATCATCCATAACAACAACAACAGCGGATGATGATCGTTATCAAGCATGGCAACAAGGACAAATGGATTATCTTGGTGCCGATAGCTATGATAATATACAAAAACGTTTAGATCAATCTATTCATGGTCAACAATGAACCACGATAACAACATTCGAATGACAAAATCAGAAATCGCAAAATCAAAAATAATGTTATTTGAGAGTGAATCTAGATTTTTATTTTCTCAATCTTAATTAATTAATAAAGAAATTCAAATGTTTTAACCACACAAGAAGAGAAACAAGAGTGTAAATTGAATGAATGGACATTGACGATTTTAATGACGTAATAAAGATGCAATAATCACATCTCTTTGTTTTAATTTAGTTTTTTTTTCTCCAAAAAACAACAAAACAAAACAAAGCGAGAAACTGTAAACGTTTTGGCAACGTAATCACTTTCTCTTTTCTGTTTTTTTTTTTTTTTTTTTAAAAAAAATCGGCTGACTTTGCCTCTTTTTTTTTTTTTTT